GTAGTCTGAGGTGCATTTCTTTTTGAGAATGATACCGGCTGGGTTCAAACTTCAGGCCCAGTTGCGTGGCTTTAAGCCCAGACCTGCAGAAGGAGACTCAGACTCAGAGTCAGCTCATTCCTCTGGGCTAATGAACAGGACTGAGGAGTGAAAGCTGGTGAAGACTGAGTACTGGGCTGAACTCTGAAGTGCCAGGTGACTAATGAAGATGGAGTGTCAAGAGTGAAGTGTGGGGTCCCCTCACAAACCAGGATTACACAAAATGGGACAAACACCCAATAGAAACTCTGCACGGATATCTGTGAGAACATTGTCCACTTGCAGAGAAAAACACCCAGCTATGCATGCAGGGCTGAATTATGCCAAACCCCATTACTCATCAGCACACAAAAGAGAGCAATCAAATACTGGTTACACCAGAGAAACAGTGACCACAGATCCTACCACCACCAGGCCCTGCTGAGCCCAGAGCTGAGCCCAGAGAAGAGCTGAGCCCCTCAGCCAGCAGGTCTGGAAGCTCACTGACACCAACCAGCCTCAGGACAGCACAGCTACAACAACACCCATCAAAATCATAGCACAAACCACACAGCCACTGGGATACACAAAAACACAACACAAACTGGAATACTACTGAACCCTAAACAGACAATACACAGTAGCTGAATATCTGACCAGGTCAAGTAACAGCAAAAAGAAACAGACCCTGGCGAAGTACAGGCTCAGTGACCATAGGCTGGCCATAGAAACTGGGCGACACAGGCAGACCTGGCTGGCAGCAGGGAGAAATAGAGACAGAGGTGCACTTCCTACTGCACTGACATACATATTCTGGGATTAGAGAAATATTCTTCCCTAAATTCAGAAATCTAATCTCAGAATTCCCACACCTGCCAGAATCACAACGGGTCCCAATCCTACTGGGAGAGGGAGGAGGGAACTCATCTGAACTGGCAGTATGTGATCTCCTGTCCCAGCTTGAGGAACAGATAGTGAGCCTGTCTCTCAATAATAATAATACAGTGTGTGATCTCCTGTCCCAGCCTGAGGAACAGACAGTGAGCCTGTCTCTCAATAATAATAATACAGTG